AATGTCAACATTATAAACTCATCCAACAATATTAAAACTATTTAAACTACTACTATAGTTACTATAGTTCCCATTCTATAATTGTATTTTCCCTTTATCAAACAAAATAAAATGAAATCTCTCATCTAAATTATGCAAATTTTAAAATGTTGCTATACGCACAATTCAATTTGGCCACATCATTCCGAGTATTTATTGTGTTTTTTGTTCTTCCAATGTGCATCATCTCTAGAATCAACCGTTTTTGCTGATTATTTTTTGTGTCTAGTATTTTGACTTTATCTAACTCTATTTTATGATTATTTTTAATAGCATGTATAGCTAACGCCGTATCTTCTTTTTTGGTTTCTATGCTATATTTATGTGCATAAACCCTCCTAGATAAGTACTGTGGGGTTTGTCCGACATACTTTCCATCACAATCTGAGCATTTTAACTCATAAACAACATTGTCTAATTTTCCTCGGCTGGTCCTATCTTTCATTTGAGAGAAGAGGGATTTTTTCAGGCTATTTTTGTATTTATACGATATACTTACATTGTGGTCCCGAAAAATTCTTTTTATTTTAAATGATAATGGTTTTATGAATTCCATAGAAAAATGTTTTTTTGGATTGCTCTGCTTGTTCTGACGGCGCGACAAACAGTCATACGCTCCTCGCAGACACTTTTCAATTACGCTGTTTGGGTAACTATTGCCTTTCAATATTTCTTTTATTCTTTGCATATTTTCTTCTTTAAAAGAAACTGAACTTAGAGCAATAGCTCTATGAAATAAGTTTTTTGCCGTATTAATTTTAATACTTAAATCGTGGCATGATTTAAAATTTAAAACTCGACATCCATGGTTTTTCTTTCATGCCACGATACTCGTAAATTTTTATATCCAAAAGTGTGATGGCATTGTCTTCCTCAATTTCCATTGTAAATTTTATGTATGGATCCACATTGAAATATGTTAAAATATTATTTATATATGTAGCGGGGACACTTAATATGGTATCATCAACGTATTTTTTTATAAATTGCACCTCTATAGGAATTGTAGAAAGTATCTCCTCTACTAAATCATCCATTACATATTCCACAAGTATAGGGGAAATCGAAAGTCCCATCGGGAGACCCATTATCTGTCGATAATAATTTTTATTATAGATAAAATAAAAACCATCGAGATATAATTCTATTGCATTAATAAATAAATTTTTTGGAATTTTCGTAACTGTTGTGATTGTTTTCCATCGTTTTATGATTGATTTTATGGCTACCTCTTTTTTTACATTTGTAAAAATCTGGTGCGCGCAACACACAACTTTCACTTACTCTTTGAACTTTGAATAAAAATTATTTTCTGGCCATGTTAGGCTATTATAAAGTGTTTTAAACTGAGCTAAAGCTAAAAAAACACAAATTCTATTAAAATAACAAAAGTTCTATTTATTATATCACAGGTTGATTATGGATTGTACGATTTGTTGATTATGGATTGTACGACTATAAGTCATTAAACTGTTATTTTCCATTGCAAAGATTATTAAAACGGAATTAATAGATTTGCAGTGTCTGTCATAGACAGGTCAAAAGTTGTCACACTAATTGTAAGTGGATTCTGTTGGAATATCGCAAAAAGAAAAATTATCAAACTATTCACTAATTTAATTTTCTAAAAGGTTACATGATGATTTTTCGGAATAAACGGACGATAGATATCTAAATATTTAAATATATTATGAGATCTAGAGTTATTAAACTACAGTAAATATATTTAGGGTCATAAACGTATCTATGAAATATTTTTGTATTTCACTTCTTTTTTCACACAAGTACAATGAAATGGTAGTGAAATATCACAAAGAGAAGATCTACCGAATTATTCACTAATTTAGTTTTCTAAAAAGTTATATGACAATATTTTGGAATTAACTTTAATACCTAATTATTTATAGAGAAATACTTTATTAAAAGTAATGCTGCCCTACTACATAGGGTTGCTTCGTACACAGCATCCTTATCAATCCATACGGACATTAATTTTATATTATATTTTTCTTTTTTTTTTCTCCCCCTTCATAACAATACTCTTACAAATTATCAACAATAAACCATATTAAACAATGGACATAGCATAATAAACACTTTCCCAAAATTAAAAAAAAATCCCTTTTTCTCTTTAATTCTCAAACGCCAGGAACACAATACAACATCACACACATATATAACACAGCAATTCCTTGAATATAGCCAAAAAGATAAGACGATTGTGGACCAATTTAAAATTTAATAAATAATCACTAAACTACAGTAAATGTATTTAATATTATAAACACACAATTTATACATCCATGAAATGATTTTATATTTTATTTCTTCTTTCACACAAGTACTCTGAAATAGTTTTTTTAACAATGCCATCAACTTGCTTAGGTGGATTTTAAATACATTATAAAAAAATTAGCATTACCTTATTAACACATTCAAAATTCAAAAACTGAAACAAAGGATATAACCATGTCAGCAGAACGTATTAAAAAAAAAACTAGAGACCATATCTTATCTCCTAATTGTCCGATTTTAACGATTTTTTTTTTGTTTTTTAGGCTATTCCATAAACGTTTAGAAAACCATATACAACATTCCCAAAAAAGTGTATACTTTTTGAGTTATTCGGAATTTAATTTTACCATCCCTCGTAACTTTTTTTCAGCTTCTTTTCGCTGATGAATGTTATATAGATAAATTTGAAGGGGGTCGAGAAAATGACTTTAGCGAAGTTTCAATGAAATCGGTACATTCATTTAGGCGCTACAGTCTATAGCTACGTTTTTCTGCATCTTTATTTTTTTTCTCCTTTATTAACTTATCAAATTCTTTCAAAAGTTATATTTAGCATTTTTTCGTAACTCTGAATAATGCGAAATAATTATCTTTTTAAAATAAACCATATTAAAGGTACTTTAGAGGAAGACGTATATGAACATTGGGCATTTAAGCCCTGTAAAGTTACATCAATGGTGATAAGACGTAATTTATATTAAAGACCACTTAATTATACAATGATACACCGAGTTTAATCAAAATCGTTAGAGCCGTTTTTGAGAAAACTGTGAAAATGTGTTATGTGTTTCAGCGTTGATATAAAGTGGTACTTCCGGTTAGCCGATTTTAAGGAAAAAGTTGCCGTCACAACTATGGCATATACCTATCTTAAATACATATCAGTGATATCAGTTTCATAGGACTTTTCGTTTTTGAGCTAGACTGCTAACATACAAACACACACACCATTTTTCGGGACTTGGTCATTTCGACTCAGGGTACCTCAAAACGTATAAATCCTTCGAAAACTCAGATTCAAAAATTTTCTCGATCGCAATACTTACACTTACTATATATTACATATATACGTAAGTGAAAGTAAAAAGAGAAACTACATCTAATGATATTAGTTTGTTATCACTTGGTATCTTTTGATTTTCAATGTAATTTCTGAATTTGAATGAATTTTTATGTTCAAATCGTTTTCTATTTTTGATTTGTGTAAGATACCAGCAAGGAATTTAGCTAAACCGGAAGTTGCAGAATTAACAAAGGAAACTATCGGTCGCAACGGAGAATTGGTTTTGTGTACTTTAGGAAGTCCATAAATTTTTGGCGGTACGACATTATTGGTATATATTTTACTATATTGTTCAAATTTTATCAATTCCATATTAAGCAAAAGTTTTGGTAGTGCATTGTTCTGTTTCATAAGATTTTGGGTTGGATCTGAAATTTTCTTATGAGTTAAAATGCTCAGATTGTGATGGAAAGTATGTCAGACAAACCTCACAGTACTTATCTAGGAGGGTTTATGCACATAAATATAGCATAGAAACCAAAAAAGAAGATACGGCGTTAGTTATACATGCTATTAAAAATAATCATAAAATAGAGTTAGATAAAGTCAAAATACTAGACACAGAAAATAATCAGCAAAAACGGTTGATTCTAGAGATGATGCAGATTGGAAGGACAAAAAACACAATAAATACTCGGAATGATGTGGCCAAATTGAATTGTGCGTATAGCAACATTTTAAAATTTGCATAATTTAGATGAGAGATTTCATTTTATTTTGTTTGATAAAGGGAAAATACAATTATAGAATGGGAACTATAGTAACTATAGTAGTAGTTTAAATAGTTTTAATATTGTTGGATGAGTTTATAATGTTGACATTTGATTTTATGAGATGACTAATGTACATATATTTTAATTAGTTGATATTTATTTATGTTTTTAGCAATTTTAAAGAATTAGATATTTATTTGTATTGTTAACGATTTTAAAGTCAGTTCCAAGATGTATGTGTGTGCGTGCGTGCGTGTGTGTGTGTAAGTATATATTTAATGTTAATTAATTTGCATAAGTTAAATTGTTGTACGACCAGGAGATGTTATACAAGCTGTTTTTATTATTCATAGATATGTTTTATTGATGCTGGTATATTGATCATAGAAGCATCTTTCAATTGTTTGATATAAAATAGATGCAATTTTTCATTGTTTATTGTGTAACAATATGTCTTCGGGCTCAGGACCGGGGAGGGCAGACGCTTAGCGATCCAGTAGCTTAATATATGTGCTAGTGGACGGTGCTGAAACTGTCGGTGTGTCCCTGGCCTAATCGAAGCTCTATTTTTTAAAAGTAGATTAAACATTTTTGAATAATTGTTATTAAAGACATATGGAAGTAATATTGTGTACCGATTGAGCTATTTGTAGTTCTAGCTTTGAAGAGGATCCCATGGTTGACTAATAAAAAGAAAATACCGGGATCGAAACGTCAATAAACAGAAGAAATGAACATTCAATAGTTTATTGAATAATAATTAAGTGACCTTATTCCCAATTAAATAGTCAAGTTTAAATTTAATACTGAAAGGTCGATTAAGGAAAAGTTGTAAAGATATATATATTGAGTATTGTGATTATTAAATTGCTAACAACTTTTTTTTTCAGGCTATCAAGATACTATGAGGAATGTAGAGTTGTATCAGTAAGACACCTACAAAAAGTGAGTTACATTATTTATTGAATATTTTAAATGTTTGGTGCTCAGTATGATATAATATACTCTGTTGGAAATATTGTTATAATCTTTCTATATAGCTTGTTGGTTAGTCTAATTACTTATAAAATTGGGAACGTGTTGGTTGAGTACATTGGGGTATCGCTCTCAGAATGCTCTATTCTGAAGTTTATGGGTTCAATTTCTACCAAGGCCAAATAATGTTTTTTTCTCAGTGGTCCAGAGAAATGAATCTTGACACTTCTACTCTGATAAGTATGTATTAGAAATCTCAAGGTAGCCATCAAGAGTTGACAAAAAGACCACAAGGTCCATTTGCCAGACTTTTCCCCACCAGTGGCATGTTTTGCATCCCTTGATGCATGTTATTGGAGGCATTTTTATGAAAAAACTATCGATTTTAAGATTGCTTAATCGCATATTGATTTATTGTATCTTTTCGTATTTCTTCAATACTAAGCTTCATTATTATTTTGGAGGCACTTTTTATAAAATATATTGTGATGGCCATAGGTTCCTTGCGTTTGAGGATTTACCTTTAGCATCGTTTGAAACTTAAAATAAAATTGCTGGTTGCTTCATATATGAAATAAACAAAACATACAGTAACTACATTTGATTAATTTTAAAGATCTAAGTGTAAATAATTATGAAATATGAAAGGAAAAGAAAAAGTAATTAAATATATAAATAAAAGAATATGGGTAAGTTAAATAAATAAACTATTCAAAATTAAAAATATATGAACATCGTTGGGCCTAGATTGGAAGTATTAACTTCACTGAGAAGAAGCTCCTGGTCTCAAGAAAACTTCTGCCTGTGTATCTCAAATACCTTCAGAAGAATAGAGAAAAAGACCCATGAGGTGGTAATTGAGCCTTCCACTAAACAATGTGCTTGTATCTAGTTTATAGAGGTGTAGCTGCGCTGTCTTAATAGTTTTTTCTGTGTAATACTGAACAGTTATACTTGTAAGCGCAAAAAAAATATATGTTTTTTCAAGTTTTATTTGTTGAATAAAGTAATATAAAATTTGAATAAATTAATTAAAATATATATAAATTAGAGGCAAAAGAATGATTTTTAATATCACAATCAAGGGACAGAAGTCGCTTTGCAGTGGATACCAGGCAATTGCAGGTTTGACAGAAATAATGGGGGTTAAACTAACTTGCTAGAATAGTATCTGGAATGATCCAATAAGATATTCTTCTTTGTGTAGATTCAGCTAAAATAATAGTAAAAGGGATCATTCAAAGTATACTAAAAGAGAAATATGCCCAAAGAATTGAAGGGAAGTGATGGAGTGGGTTGCTGGAAGAAAGTGGCAGGACCCCAAAAGACCTCTCAAGAGGGCAATACATTGCATGCTTTAGAATGCTTATTGGGCATGATTTCCTGCAGAAGAACCTTCTCTGCATCGGTATAACAGATTGCCTGACCTGTCCTCTGTGCTCTTAGAATAGTATGACTGGAGAACATTTTGACAAATACTCTGCATTGCATGAGCATTTACCGAAATTTACAACCCATTTGCTAGGAAAGCAAAATTATATCGCGTTGCAAGATTACACATGGCTCATCAAGCAGGCGTAGCAAAAAAAATAATAATCTTACACTTTTAAAAAAAACGAAAATGATTTATTAATTTTATATACCTAAAAAATTACATTCTCTCACCAGTGTGGATGTGACATCAGGGGCCTGTAATGCTTGGTGTTATGAACTCACAAGGGGAGTTGCTTGTCCACTGGCATAAATGTTTGTACGAGTTTTACAAATGACGAAATTAAGCCAAATGCTAAATCTTAGTGACCGAAAAACTAACTTAAGTCAAAGTCATATAATGAAATATTATCGTATATCTAAAACATAAAAAAATAATTAGTCCTGTCAATAAAAAACACCCGTTAAGTCAATTTTTTCAAATTGTTCAATCTAAAGTTGAAAATCATACGTAGTTTGTAAATAAACAGCCAACAATAGCGAAAAATGCCCTGAAATATAACATCTGCAGAATTCAGTTCACTTTTTAAAACACTGATTACTTTTTATAATATTTGAAGCAGTTACATCGAAAATACAGTTAATCGGAGGAAAAGCAGCTGTGGCATAAAGTCCTATTATATGGCTATTCATTATATGGCATTCAAATTATATATATAATTGGGTGTATAAAAAAATTACCATTTTATCAAATTCAAGATTTCAAAGGACTAAATATTTTAATCCTGTTTAATACTTAGCAATACTTAATATCCCTTTAAAGCATTTTCTAAGCTTTTTTAATCCCATTTGATTTCTTCAAAAAGCCTCTTCAAGCCTCAGTTTAGTTATTTGTTTCAAAGAACAAGCGTGAGTGTTCTACAAAATTCTCATAATTTTAAGACCTTACTGGAAAAAAAATTTCACAGCCGCTGAAGCAACTGATGACATTATTAAATTTGAAGGGGAAGGTGTCCTTGACCAGCCCACTGGTGGTGTCATTTGAAAAATTTAGCAGTGGAGATACAACGTTGGAATGGAAGAAGGGCTCCAGGCGACCATTAATGGATATAGATGAGGTTATACAGGAAGCTGTTGAGTCAAATCCATCCACGAGTACTCGCGAACTTGCCAGAGAGTAAATTGTGTCGAAAGATTCTGTTAGTCGCCTTATACTCTCCGTAGGGAAGGTGAAAAAAAGCAGTTGACTGGACCCTCACGAACTTACTCCTCATCAATAAGCTAAGAGGTTAGAAATTTGTGAAAATTGATTGAAAAACCCTTCTGATATGAAATTCCTGCCTCATCTACCATATAGTCCAGATCTCACACCATCGAATTACTAATTATCAGCATGGTATCGAGCAATTGGCAAGCAGATGGCTAATGACGGTAGATAACAATGGACTATACTTTGCTTATTGATTGTATTTTACATCAAAGAAATAATAATACAAATATTTGTTGAAAAACGGTCATTTTTTTTTATATATCCTATTATTTTAGTTTATAAGACAAACAATTATAGGATTCTTTTCCCGGAAAGTACATCAAATTTAACTAATCTTTTAGAATCACTAAATATATTTTATAAATGTTAAATTGCTACATATACATACATACAAAGGTATGTAATTTGAATAATATTTTTTTTTAAAAATGCGTTAGAATAAAGTTCATTCAAGAGAAACAAGAAAAACAGTAATTGTTGGTGACTAATTTCATTAAAATAAGTGATAAACAGAAAAATAAAATTATAAGGATTTTTCAAATTTCAAAACATCAATTTCTTTTTATCAATTTGTATTTAAGTTGTTAAGTTTAGAAAAATATTGTTTCTATGAAAGCTGTAGTAAATTGTACCTGCTTTAATATTTAATTTATAATTTGAGCTTCGCCATCTATAAAAACTGATGATTAGTTAAAAACAAAAGATTATGCATGTTTTTTTTTGAAAAATTTACCCATTTTGAAAGCTTGATAGTTCACTTCCTCATGGGTTTAGAAAAAAATGTTAGATAATGTTAAGCTGTTTAAGAGTGAATATAATCATTTTTTATCTATTTAGCTTTAAAAAGGAAATACATAGCGTAAACAAAAAAAAGTTCAAAATTTTAATGGTTTTTGGACCACTGCAGCTTTCAAGTTTTTCAAGGACGGAAACTTGGATTTTTTCTATTCACTCAAACCTAACAATATAAAAAAGAAATTTGAAATATCCAATATTTTTCAAGGTACCATGTCTAATTTGACTGGGCTATAGTACTAATTCATTAAGTAATTTTATAATTTGTATATTTAGCTACTACAATAGTATTTTTCAACGGCACTCAATGTTCTTATATATGGTGTCTTCAAGGAATATATAAGCTCTTATATTTTAAAGATTTATTCCACTTCAAATGACGTTTCGAGCTGATTTGCTCATTCTCATGTCATCAAAAATTGTTATTTACGAATATATATTTCTATATTATAATTTCATTAAATATTCATTCTTGGTACACCAAAAACAAGAAATATCACTACTTCTCATCTCATTTTTGGCGCATTTACTAATGCTTGTCCATTCCCAAAACTCAGTGCTACATCCATCCTCCCTCTATTGTTTAACATTATATTATGTATAAGTTGTGTAGGAATAATTTTTTACTGTGGCTATTTGTATTTCAGATGCCAAAGACTAATTGGGAAGTCATAACTGAGGATGCTAATGGCAACAGGATTATTTATCAATCAAGGTAGCATTTCTATAAATTGTTTCCTTATTTCATGCATGCTCAAAAGAACTAATGATAAAAATTTTAAAGATGTTGATTTTAGGTCAAGTATCAGTTATCTAAAAATGATTTTTTTTTTTTATTAGTGGAAAATTAATACATTCTGCCACATTGGAGGGCATTAATATTATAGCTACATTAAACATTTACACAATATGTACATACAAATGATAATTAAAATAGAGATAATGAAGAAAGAGAATTGTAGAAAATAAAACAAGAAATTTAACAAACATACGTAAAAGAAAAAAAATGAAATAATAGATAGAAACTAAATGAAATTAAAATAGATAAAACACATTCACACCTATATACAATATTTACATTCGCCCAGGGGACTCTGAGATATGCTTTGTTCCCCAAATGTGGAAGCCAAAGCAGGACTCCAAAAGATCCCAGTGTTTCTCTCCCAGCCATGTCACTGGTATAGAAAGCAAGTGGAGACTGATGGATGGCATTAGAGCAACAGACGCTCAGGACTTAAGTGGAGAATCTGGCTATTGCCGTTTTAATTTCCGGGGAGGATTGTAGGGATGGCTGGAACTAGATAGAGATTGTGCTACAGGATTTGGATAATGAGTGAGGTTCTGGTGAAATTTGGAAAATTGATCTGGGATTATGTCAAGAACAAATGGGATATGAAAGTCATTATGGAGGGTTTTATTGGTTACATAGATGGGAGAATCGACTATTGTTTGGAGTAATTTAGGACGATTTTACCATTAAGTAATGTCAAATAAAACGTTGACTAAGAGGTTTTGGTCAGTTTCTTCTACCCCTGTATGGCTCGTAGTTCACCCGCTAAAAAAAAAAAAAAAAAAAAAAAAAACTCCTTGCATCCGGCCAACTACAAAGGTTTCCAAATTTACAAGAATCTCAAATCCAGATACCAGAAACTCTAGATTCAAGATGAAACAACCAGATTTAAGGAGATAATCTTCTAAAATCTCAGTGGACTAAACTGTGTCGTTCGCATAATTACTTGGAGGTGGAATAGATAGCCATAAAGGTGAGGTCCTCCAGCGACAACAGCAACAAATTATACCTTAACATCCTCAGCTTGAACTTCAACGACCTATTTTTCTAAATATACCTAATCCTTACCTTCAGCATCAAATTTCCCATATTCCAGCTCTATTAAATGCCACAGATTTATTGACATTCTTCCTCTCTGAATTCAACTCCTCTGATGTCACTTTTTACCAATCTAGTATCCCATCACTTCCATCAATTAAGAAATACTTAAATGACTTCTAAGAAAGCTATATCAATTCTCCTTGGAAATGCAGATGATGTTAGAAATCATACCAACAAACTAACTGCCTTCTTACATCATAAAAACATGGATGTGGTATTAATTACTGAAATTCAACAAACCACTAAACATCTTTTCAAAATACCGCAATACTCAACATACCGTACCAGCATCCTGATGGTAGAGCACCGGTACTGCTGTCATTGTCCATCATTCCTTCTCTTATCGTCAACTCTTTTTGCCTACTCACGATTTCCTACAGGCTACTGGTATACTAATTAAAGCCTTCTCCTTTCTAGTCACACTTGTATTAGCATATTGTCCTCCTAACAAATCCATATCCAATACCTTTAATCATATTTTTTTAATTCCCTCCTCTATTCCTCAATACATGATTTCATTCTAGGTGCAGATTTAAATGCTAAGCATCAAAAACAGGGTTCCAGAACCACAAATTCTCATAGGTGAACACTGTTGTCCGTACTCATTGCTCAACATTTTAACCCTTTTCCCTCCAATTCTCCCACATACTGGCTCACAGATCCAAATCGTAAACCTGATATCCTTGACTTCTTCGTCCGCAACGGCTTAAGTTCCCTTAATTATTTATTTACATGTCTAAATGGGGTCACTTCCAAGCATAGCATAGCCCACTGATTCTCCAACTTTCACTAACACTCCCATTCTCAAACCTTCTCAAACTTTTTTTTCTTGGCATACGAGGTGGAGGGAGTAGGTTGTTTTAGAGCTCTATCTAGTAATGAAGGAACTAACTTCAGATTTCTCAGAAGCTCATACATATGGTAAGGCTGACCATGGATGATTTGTTGTATTCAGTGTGCATTGGTGAAAATATGTTCAAGGAATCCAAGTGACGAAGAGTCTCTATGGCGAGGTGATGATATTGCATTCCTCTTATTTAATATTGCCCTGGAGAAGACTGTGAGAGAGTCGAGCATACAAGTTGGACATACAATATTTAGTCAAAGTACACAACTATTGGCAGAGGACATCAACGTCATCGCAGGCTATCAGGAAACATTGCTAGCACTGGTGGATCCTAAAAGGAAACTTGGAATCAAGGTGAGCTAGGTGAAAACCAAATACATGGTGACATCTGGACACAGTAAGATGGTTGGATGCGGGGACTACCAATTCGAGTAAGTCTCCAAATTCATTTATTTAGGTTCAATTGTGACTCAGGACAATAGTGCAGATGCCGAAATTAGAAGGGAAATAATTTCTGCTAACCAGTGCTACTACAGCATGAGAACTTAGCAGCCACATTCAAACAAAATTAATTTTGTAAAGGTCGTAATCTCTGCAGTGCTAATATACGGCTTGGAAACTTGGATTATGACCTAGAGTAATGAACAAATTCTTCTGGTGTTAGAATGGAAATTCCTTCAGAGGATGTTAGGAGGAGTGTTAATGGATGCAACCTAGAGAAGACGCATAAACTAGGAGGTTTATGATTTATTCTAAGGGCTGAATGCTGTTCAGGTGATTAAATTGGATCGATTGCTGTGGATGGGTTGTTGCGCGCATGGTTAAAGAAAAACTGCCCAGGAAGCTTCTGATTGAAGCTCTCGATGGAACTAGAAGACAAGGAAGATCAAAACATACATAGATGGGTAGACGTAGTTGCAGCTGACGCTTGAAAGTCGTTGAGTGTGCATTGGAAGTTGCTGTCGGACACTCGCTCTCTGGAACAGGTTGTGCCGAAATAATAATAATGTAATTGATGGTATTTGAAGAGGAATAAATGTTCCACATTTTGTTTCCTCTCTATTTTATTTTTTCGTTATCGTTAGCCGTTTAGTTATAAACATACTTTATTTTCTACAATCCTGTGAATAATCTCAAAAATTCAACTTTATGCATGCTTTTTTTTGTCTAAGTCAATTATTCTTTTATATTTCTGACTAGAGTTTTATTTATGTAAGACCAATTATGGATAAATTAAACCAAATCCTCAATGTCAGTGATAGGACCATGGAGAGTAACTATGGGTCCAAACGTTAAATTTTCATGGGTTCCCAACAGTTATATTAAATTCACCACTTATACACTTAAACCCAATCTCATCCTTTATAATATATGCAACAAAAATGAGGAAAGAATTTACATTATTATTATTTAATTCAATTCTTAATGGTTGACCGTTGTATATTTTAGAGGATGGTGATGGTCCGGGGTGGCAGTCATAAAGAGACTAAAATAGTGGAAAAACTATTTTATTTCAATCCAACGTTTCGACCTAACTTTGCGGTTCTTCCTCAGGGCTAGAACGGACAAGATACAAAAGGATATAGAAAATTGTGGAAGTTGCATAATATTTAGACAAAACTTATAATCAAGGTGAATAAACTTATTGAAATTATAAACAGTAATCACATTGCAATATTAAGAACAATAAATTATATTAACAGAGTAAACTAAGTAACAAGATCCTAAAATGAAGGAAATAAATGGTAACAATTGTTGTAGTATAATATATAATATTATATATGCAATTATGAATATACTACTACAGATCTTAAGGAGAGATTGGAAAAAGAGAAAAAATAGTATGAAATGATGGACATCAAGGGATGTGAAGAAAAATAAATAAAAATAAAAGAATAATAATAGATACTTACAGGTGCGTTCAGCAAGGAGTTTCAGTTAAAACTGGAGAAACTTGGGTAGAGCACCCTTGGGGAAATTTGCTGGCCTGGTAGATTGTGAAAAATGAATGATCATAGATTGATGTAGAATGTAAATATAAAATAAAAATAAAAGAGAGATCATACAAAATGGAAATACTTAAAAATAATTGACGATTAAATTAAATTAATCAATAAATATTGAAAATTGATAAAAAATAAATAAACAAAAAGAATAGCAGATATAATAGAGAATTTATTTTTCACTTATAAGTTTTAAAATGTGCCTACATGTTAAAGAAATGCAGTTTTTATCTACTTTATGATTAACAGGATTCTGGTCCATGTGGATGAGGATGGATTTTTCTTGGTTAGGGACCGTGGTAGGAAGATTTGCTGAGTTTAGCTGAGTTGATTATATTAGAGATGATAGGGCAGAGGGGATTTCCAGGTTTGTGAGTTTTTTTTAGACTCTGTTATCCCTTCTTTCCATCAAGACATCATTTACTCTGTTTATATAGTTTATTGTTCTTAATATTTCAAAGTACTTCAATTTCAAATTCAATTCACCTTGTTTATAATTTTTGTTTAAATATTATGTAACTTGTCTGTTCTAGCCCTGAGGAAGACCTGCAAAGTCGGGTCGAAACATTGGCTTGAAATAAAATAGTTTTTCTACTATTTTAGTTTCTTTATGACCACCACCCTAGACCATTTCCTTCTTCTATTATTATTTAATATATGTATAGTCATATAGACGGATCCCATTGGGGTCTGGGTCCTGGAGTTGTACACACCATATTGAAATGCTGTTTGGGTCTGAGTGGCAACTTTTTTTTTTGTTTTAATTACTAGTTGTAACACCATTTAAAAAACTCCATGATCTGCCATTTTCAGGGATATGGTGCGGCCCACCGTATTAGTACTTTATATTATTATTTCAATTTATATACAATTGGAATTTATTCAATTTTTACAAATATGTGTTACCATTATACTTTATTTTAATAATTACCCTTAAGGGAAATATTAAATGTATTTTCTTACTGTTTATCCCTTGGGTTTCTAAAATTAATTTTTTTTCCATAGGTTCATCATATTAGCAACTGGATCATGTATTCCAAAAAAGCTTGGCATTAGAGGTGAAGATGAAAATAATATTGTTCATGATTTGCTTTCATTTGAAGAAAAATTGTCTAATTTTACGGATCGGCATTGTAAGCATATCTTTACTTTTTTATATTTAAATGAATAAAATTTGTAGTTATAACTAATCTACCAAATTCCTATGTTAGTTTTTGTTTAAAAACTTTATTGATTAATAATTTCTTTATTGTATAATTTTAAATGTTTTTGTATTAATCATTAGAAAGTAGTAATTAGGTTAGTAAGATAGAAAAAATATATAAGACAAGAAAAGAGATAGAGAGAAAGGAAAGAAAAGGAAATTGAATATTAATAGGGGAAATTTTTTTTCAATTGTTAAAAAGGAAATAAAAATACATTGAAAAATAAATCTTTACCATATTCATATATATCGGAATGGTACAGTTCATTTGTATATTAGTTTTAAAGATTGTCCATTGTGATTAATAAATATGCTGTGTATTTAGCAACTGCACACGATTGGGCAGTACTTTTTTATGAAAATAAAGTCAGTCTCTCTCTCTCTCCGCTGGGTCCCGAAAACATGGTATCATTTACAATGGTTAGGCCATTCCTTGCAGCAAAATCCTCCAGCAGTACGCCTTTTCTATCGGTTCTTCGGCTGCCCCACAAAATTGAGTGAGCATTAAAATCGCCCATTATTAAGATATTCTTACTCAGCTTCTCTACTACATGCTGCAATTTTGTCAGTATGTCTTCCAGTGGGAGTGCGAATTTTGCATCAACATTGATCAAGTCAAAGTTAATGCCTATGTAATCAACATTGGCAACTGAAATAAATCTATCTTCCAGATCAGGCTATTATGTAATTGTAAGGCAATGATTAAACATCACCAGTGCGCTCTGTGGTGCATCGTGCAACCCACTTCCATTACTAGCAATGGTGCGGTCTTGCGGTTCAGTTCCAGACACCTTCCCTCTCCTAATAGGAGGTTCCTGAAGAGCACCAATATCTATGTTATTTAGTGAGGCCATGCGTCTAAATTCTGACATTGCGAGCGGTCTCTTGTTTAGATTGTGTTGGGCTATCTGGAGGGCAGAACTGTTATTCATCCTTGTTATATTTAGTCCTCATTATTAACCTTTCAATAGCTCTTTTGTATGATGGGCAGTCTTTGTCATTTGTCGGATGGTTAGATGCTGAGTTGGTTTTACTGCAGTTTATACATTTTGGCAGTCTCCTGAAACATGTCCTGTTTCACTACAGTACCCGCAGTTTACAACAGTTGCGGGACAGAATTTTTCTATATGTGAAAAACCCTGCCATTTATTGCATCGTGTCACTGCCACCCAGTCTCTTACATTGCAGGATGCCCAATCAGGAAAACTCTTCCCTCTGCCAATATTTCATTTCTCACCGCCGGGAACACTTCCGCCACCCAATGAACTGTATCTCTTCCTCTTGGACCTGTCTTGAAAACCAAGCTGAAGTGCTGCTTATTAGGATGTAATTTTTTTGCATTTATGGTCCAGAATAGTTCGACAATCTTTTCCAGGTCACATGGGACGTCATATAGAATTATTCTTGGAAGGCGTTTAATCTCCAAGTTTACTTTAGCACTGAGTTCTTTTATTCCCTCCGACTGAGCTAGCCTTTTAGCTTCTTCTTTTGTTGGAGTCCTAATTATTACACCTCTGGTAGTTTCTACCACTCCTCTAATTTTTATTCCTTCTTTAGCAGGCGTGAAGCTTTTCTTTATCCCCCGTTTCAATTCCTGTACAGTGGGATATTTTTCCCTGCTTTGGTCTGTCTGGGCTATGTACACTGAACTCGGAGGTTCATGGAGAGGAATTTCCTGTCTTTTTCCTACTAATGTAGAGGCATAAGATTGTTTTTTTGTGGTATCGACCTTTTCAGTGAGGAGAAGCTTAACCTCCTCATTTATTATGTCCTTCATTACCAATTTTAATGTCTCTAGACCATGCATTTCAAAAGTAACAGGTGTAGGGCAGAAGGCTTGGTTTTTTAATACTCTTATTTCGCCTTTTAATTCTGCATTTTGAATTATGAACTTATTACAGTTATCTTCCAGTTTACGTGCCGCCGCAAGAACTGTCTCAACTGCCGTCTTGCTTGTTAGTTTTGCTTGGGCATTCAGTAAAAATTCCTGCAGTTATAACATTATTCGGCTGTTTTCTTCATTTACGTTCTTATAACTTAAATTCTTCTCTGCGATAGCCTCATGACACGTCATCCCTTATATCCTTCACATTATTCCATCCCGATTTTCAAATTTTCATCATAATCTAATCTGTGATCCTAATGCCTTAGCAAAATCCTTATGCAGTTCCAGTCATCCCTACAATCCTTCTCAAAGGTTGTAATGGCAGTGGCCTCAAGATCTTTTGTAAATACGCCACTGAGGTCCTGGCAATGGCCAGGTTCTCCACTCAAGTCATGAGTGTATATGGCTTTAGTGCCCTTTCTCAGTCTCCGCTGGATTCCCATTCCAGTGATGTGGCTGAGAGAGAAGTGTTGGGATCTCTAGGAGTCCTGCCTTATCCTCCCACGCGTGGGTGAAAGAGCCTGATTTGGAACTCCCTCGGCTGACTGTAAATAAGTATGAATGTTTTTTTTTATATATTTTTATTTATGTTGTCTCATGTTTTATTTCTTCTGTTTTACTAAGTTTTTTTTTTTCTCATAATTTCTATTGTATATAAGGTATGAATGAGACTTACATCTCAAATACTCAATGCCTTTAATTGAAGCCAAATGTATTTTTTTTCTCAATAAAATAAAATTTCCCACTGCCGAGGGCTCTGAAATTTATTGTATAGTGAGCCTTCCACTAAAAATGTGAAAAAATTGTCATAACTAAGTAATTTTTATAAACTATTTTTAGTATGTATATCAATCTATAAACTAATTATTAATTTATTATTACTTTCTTGCTTTATTATCTATAAATCATTACATTAGATTAAATTACAGTTTTCCAAAATTCTAATGTAATTATAGCAAGCAATAGCAGTGCTTGAGAAATTCAACTTCATGTTAAAATTATTTACTGAATTATTAGTTTAGTTCTGAACCTTCATTTATTTGTTACTAGGTCGGGTGTTAGTTATTGGTTCTGGTCTTAGTGCTGCTGATGCTGTGCTCCTGGCACGCTTCAGAAACTGCCAGGTTATTCATAGCTTTAGAGCTGATGATGTCACACTTGGTTCTATGTTACCTGAATCAATGTATCCTGAATATCATAAGGTATGTACTTGATGAACATTTTTTTGCAATTATAAGATGATTTTTGTTACAAATACACATACATTCATGTTTTATCTAACAATTTTTTTTATAATGTTGTAATATTGGGTTGGCAAATAAGTCCTTTCGGTTTCTCTGTTTATTTTTATGTCACTATGATACACTTCTTATCTGATGAATTTATCCCTAAGGTGGATTGTTTATCCTGTTTGTAATATGTCAACTCTTGTTGAAACTAGCTTAGTATTGTGTTTGTTATTGCACTGTGAATATGGAAGAAAATATCATTCATTATCGGCATATTTTGTTGCATTATTTTAAAAAAGGTAAGCGTGCTGCAGAAGCTCATCGAAACATTTGCAGCGTTTATGGGGATGGTGCCTTAATCGAACACACATGTCAAAATTAGTTTGCCAAATTTCATTTCGGGAATTTTGACATCAATGATGCTCAATGGTCTGGTCGCCCACATGAAATTGAAGTGAGCAATTTTAAGACCATTGTTGATCAAAATCCCACACAATCAGAGCGAGAGATTGCTATGGCCCTAAATGTGTCGCACACAATTGTAGAAAACCATTTGCACAAACTCGGCTATGTTTTCAGGCTTAATGGTTGGGTCCCTCACATGATTTTTTTTTGAAAATCATTAAAAATGTTATAACTTCAATACAACTTTAGCTATCTACAAGAAATTTAGCGGGAATTTAGGCCACATAAACTACAGATAATGACATCAACAGGACCTTCGTAAACAAACTACAAATGGAGATAAAAAATAAAAACTTATAAGGAGTTTTTGTTTATTTATTCCTTATGTAGCCATTAAATCAAAAAGCCATTCATATGGATTTGAAGAGCAATAATTCAGCTTTCCAACGGATATAGTAACATCGAATTTGGAGAACATCCTGAAGAGTTATGAATGATCAGAAGGATGTTGTGTTCCACCAAGACAATGCTAGGCCCCACACCTTATTGTTCACTTGCAATAAATTATTGAGCCTTGGACGGGACTTTTTGCCCCACCCTCTCTATTCACCAGACCTAGCTCCAAGTGACTACCACTTATTCTGCTCTCTGGAAAACTCTATGAATATAAGGAAATTCCAAAAGGAAGAGGACATCAAAAACCACTTAGATCAGTTGTTTAACAATAAACTCCAGACATTTTATGAACATGGCATTATGCAGTTAGTGGAAAGATCTGTTAAAGACTTATTAAATAATGGTCAATATATTGTAGATTGAAATAAATTTTATTTCTATAATACAATGAGTTTTATTTCACCCTGAAAAACCGAAAGGACTTATTTGGCAACCCAATATTTATATTTATATTAAAAATTATAAATATAAATTATAAAGTGTTGCGAAGGATAATTGATGCTCAGTTTTATGTCGCAAATGATATACTACAAATAGAAATATACAATTTTAGATATTGCAAAATAAAACTACAATAACTTTCACTAAAGACTGATGTATAACATGAATCCTCTGACAGAAATCTTTTAATGTACAAGAAACCCCTACAGCCCACCGCAACGATTACAGTAGGCATTGGCCAAAGACCTGCTGATCGGATTTATGTGATGGAAAACTGCCAATAAAATTTCTCATTGCAAATTCAATTTTATCTTCAACATTTTTGTTTGGTTAATAAATAAATAAATAAATATATATATATATATATATATATATATATATATATATATATATATATTTTATCCTATCCTCAATTTATTTGTATATATATCTTTTCCTATCTTAATCTCCATGTTTGTTTATAATTTACAATACCATTGCAAGTTCTTAAGTAACATATATATATATATATATATATATATATATATATATATATATATAATTTATTTTCTTTTAATTAGTTTTTCCTTATTTTTTTTTTCCTTTTTGTTGCTGAAATTGTTTTCTCATAAAATTAATTTAATGCCCCTTCCTAATTGTATTTATCTACTTATTCTTATTTTATATCTCTTATGCCAAGATACTGCAATATTATGATCCCATTGCTAATCTTCTGTCATTAATATATCTTTAATCAAAGTATACATTTTGTATGTTTTAACATAGAAAGTCAAGACTTTTTACTAACTTAAGTCTCATAGACTTTGCTGCAGCACTAGGTCTAGTCATTGGCAGCACATTGTTTCCTGGTAAGAACATCCACAAAGCCACTTGGAGATCACCAAACGGGGCAGTCACAAACCAAATAGACCACATTTTAATTAGCTCACGCCACAGATCTAACCTTATTGGAGTTAGAGTCTACAGGGGCCCATTGACTCGGATCATTTCTTGAGCATCGCCAGGATCCGCCTTCGAATATCAACGAAAAGATATGTAGCAGCTGGTCCAGCCCAACAGAAATATGATGTATCCAATCTAAAAGACATGGATCAGTGCATAACATACCGGCAGCGATTGGAAGTTAAACTCGCGGAGGAGTTGAGAGAGAGAGAGAGTCGAGACAGTGGATGATCAGTGGGCAGGAATAGCCAAAGCTGTCAAAGATACAGCGAAGGAGATGCTCGGACCTTAAACAAGGAAGGCCAGGACACCGTGGTTCGACGATGACTGCCTAGAATGCACAACTCGGAAGAACGAGGCATATAAGAAGACGATCCAACGTTACACACGGCGATCGCCGGAGGAGTATAGAAATAGGAGAAGGGATGAAAAGAAGATCCACCACATAAAGAAAAGAACATGGGAGAACAAAAGAATGGAGGACGTTGAGACCCACAGAACTCTACATGAAAGTAGGCTATTCTTTCAGAAGGTGAATGAAGAAAGGTCAGTTTTTAAACCGAGAGTCACCTCCCGCAAGGATTCAGATAGAAATCTCCTGACCTCCTCTCCTGAAGGGAGAGATCCTGGAGAGATGGAGGCAGTACTTTGGAAAAGTCCTTCATCGAGACGATGCAGAACCACCAGACCACGATGAAGTCGAGGCGGCCATTAGGAAGCTAAAGAGTAATAAAGCCCCGGGACTAGACGGCATACAAGCAGAGATGATTCGCTACGGTGGCGAGGAACTGATGTGATTTCCTATCCAGTCACCTTAAAGTACCCACATTTTCTGCAAAAATTAACTGTTGCAAAGCTTTTATGTCTTGTTTTCCCCATGATATGGAATGTATTGTAATAAATATAATTGCTCCAAAACACATTTTATTTATAAATATAAAAAATTTAAAAATAATGATTTTTATAATATTTTTCACATAAAGTTGTTATGAACTGTGTTTTTCTCCCAGATCTCCATCATAGGAATTGATATATATTTATCAGGGACAAATTTAATGTTTCTTACTAAAAATTTATATTTAAAATAAAGGAACCTACTGATTGCTTCAATTATTTTCATGAAAACCTATATATCATGGCTAGAAACATTAAGTTTGTCACTTATAAATACGCATCAATCCCTCTAACAGAAATATAGCAAAAAAACACAATTTTATAACCACATAACATGATAAATATTTTAAAATCGTCATTATTATTTTTTTTATTTTTACTTTCACTTACCTATATATGAAATATATAGTCAGGGACAATATTGTAGTTATGAAAATTTTTGAATCTGTGTTTTCAACAGAAATACATGTTTTTAGGTCTCCTAAGTCCAAATTACCAAATCCCGCAAAATGGTCTGTGTGTGTGTGTGTGTGTGTGTGTGTGTGTGTGTGTGACTGTGACAGGTCTAGCTCAAAAACTAAAAATTGCATGAAAGTGAAATTTAAGGTTTGTTTATACCTGAGATAACAAGCAACTTTTTTGTCAAAATCGCCTAACCGGAATGTTTCATCGGATGACACTTTATATCATCGATGAAACACATTTTTACTGTTTTCTCAAAAACGTCTTCAACTATTTTGATTAAATTCATTTAATCAGTGTAAAATTAAGGGAATGATTGAATTAAGGGAATGATTGGGTAAGGGAATGATTGAGGGGACCTAAACCACTGTGGATGAAAAAATCAAGGATATCAGAATTGCGGTTAGGATCAGTGGGCCAGTAGGTTGGTGAGTTGGGTGGAAGGAGACTGAAACGTTGGGAATTGAGTGCAGACAGAAATGTTCGACCACGAGAATCCGTGGTTCTTGAACCCCATTGTTGATGCTTGGCGTTTAAGTCTGCACCCAAGCTGAAATGATGTCCTAAGGAAATGAGGAAGGAACTAAATTGGATATTGGAGATGGATTGGTTTGGAGGGCAATACGCTGATGCAACGGTAATAGGAAAGGAGAAGGTTTTGATTACGACTGCGGTGGATTGTAGGAAATCGTGTGTAGGCAGTGGGAGTAGGTGATGGGAGAGGGATTGGTGCACAATGACTGCAGTACCGGCATGTGCTCTACCGTCAGGATGGTCGGTACGGTAAGTTATGTATTGTGGTATTTTTAGGAGCTGTTTTTTAGTCAGTCGAGTTTCCGTTATTAGGGCTACATCTACGTTCTTGTCTTGTAGTAAAGCTTTTAGTTCGTTAACGTGATTTCTAACACCATTCACATTCCAAAGGAGAATGGATATGGGTTTTGGGATGTGAGTCATTAAGGATTTTTTAAAGGAGAGATGAGGTGAGATACGAGATTTCTAAGGAGTGATATGAGTGGAGTAACTAGGGATTTCAAATCGGTTAGGAAGGATGCTAATAAACTGGTGAGATCTGTTGCATTTGAAGGAGGAGGAATTTGAGGTTGTTGATGATTAGGTATGTTAGGATGAACAGGATATTGAGGTTGGGGTTGAGGTAGTTGCTGCGGCAGGGTTTCACATATATTAGTTGGGTTCTTACCTCCAAGTAGTTCGGAGTATGATGCATTATTACTAACAGTTCTAGATGGTTCTCTTCTTGGTCTGGTTGTCTCATCTTGGATCCGGTTCTTCTGGTATCTGGATTTGAGGTTCTTGTAAGTTTGGCAGTCTTTGTAGCTGGCCGGGTATTCCTCCAGGCACAGGGCACAAACTGCAGGATCCTGTATTGGTTTGGTGCACTCTGCTGATTTGTGTTGTTCACCACATTTTACACAATGCAGCAAGTGGTGGCAATAAGTCTTTGTGTGGCCATACGCCTGGCAATTGTGGCACTGCACGATTTCCCTCTTGGGGTACAGCTTCTCTATCTTCACGAGAGTGTAGTGCAACCTTTTGATTTCATAAATTTTCTCGACACCAGGTGATGGCTCGAGGTCCACGAAAAATAAAGGTAGTGGTACTTTATTTCTTACTCCAGGCTTCTCCCTATTCTCCTTCAGAACATTGGTTATCTGACGCACTTAGCAACCAAGCGTCACTAGCTCTTCTTTTATCACTTCAGTTGGGGTTGAGGAGTACTAATGCCGTCTGACAGAGTCCTCTTAGTGGGCACCTTACTGGACATCACTTGTTCACAATGCCGCATATCATAAGAGAAGAAAGAAGAAATTAAAATTAAAAAAAAAAAAAATTAAAATTAAAAAAAAATGTATCAAACAGTAAATAACAACTGCTCTGATGTACACTTCAACTGTATTCAGTAAATAATCAAAGAAATTCCACTGAAAAATAGGCAAAAACTGAGAGAAGATTTCAGAACACGACCTTCGCATCAGCTGATCCACTGCCTTCTCCGTCATATTAGGTTTGAATGTGAAATGGTTAATTATTTCCAATAACAAAAAATAAAAGTACTTTAGAGGAAGAAATTTTGAAAAATCAGCATTTAAACCCTGTCAGCTTTGTAAATAACCTACTAAAAGTTAAATGTAAATAACTTGTTTTTTGGCGGGTATAGCAAATAGCCTTCCGCTTTTATATCGGGGATTTAGGTTATTTACACTCGTGAATTATTAAAACAAAACCCCGGCACTGGATATAGACTTTTGAGGGTGTTTAAGTGTTGTTGGGAATTCGGGAATCTAATACCTTTTGTGACTCTGAGTGAGAAGAAACAATAAGAATATATATTTCAAATGTGGGACTTAGTAAATACACTTTGAATGAATTGACTCACCTGTTTTGTTATTCTTCAATCGTGAGGCATATAGGACAACTAAATAAATAAATGACTTTTCACTCCTGTATAATAAAATAATTTATTTCTACAACTGTAATAAATTGACTCTATTAAAGTGTTATAACTATAGACTTGATCTTCTAAATCTTGTAGTAGCCTCTCTTCCCAGGTATGTGTTCCGCCTCAATCTCCAGCCTCAAGTCAGTTTTCCTCTCTTCTGACAACCTCCTTTCTACCTGTCCCGGCCTAGAATGTTCTCTCCCCTCTCCAGCTGTTGCTACCTGCTGGTACCTTTCGGTACCTCCAACCTTCTTCCATCTTCATCGATTATTTATCGATATGAGACTTTTCAATGAATAATTTGTCCACTGTACAATTGAGTACAATTCACAGTGCAACCTCACATTCCTATATATTCCTTCTCATTCCCTCACACAATGTCACATAAAGGAGTAAATACAGGGGGCTGTCTACTACAGCTTGCATCAATGAGAATAAAACCTACCTTAAATTAAAAACCACCTTATACACTGACCTAGTGAATTCAATCATAATCATTAGAGCTGTTTTTGACAAATTCGTATAAATGTGTTAAATCGGTGATATAAAGTACCACTTCCGGTTTGCCGATTTTGACAAAAAAGTTGCTGTAACATCCCAGGCATATACAAGTCTTAAATACGCAATTTCAGTTCCATATAATATTTCGTTTTTGAGCTAAGCTGTTCACATACATAAACACACTCAGACCATTTTGTGGGAATTGGTTATTTTGACTCAAGGGAATTCAAAACATGTATTTCTGTTGAAAACTCAGATTCAAAATTGTTCACGATCGCAATACTTACACTTACTATATATTTTATATATATTTAGGCAAGTGAAAGTAAAAATAAGGTAAATGTTAATGTTTTCAAAATAGAAACTTTCTTCTTTTTAATTTTTACTAATACTACTAGGCCTTAAAATATGTTTTTTTTTTTTTTCAATCTGTTATATCACAGAAAAACATGCTTTAAAAATCTAAAATTTTCAGTAAAATTATTTTATTTGTTCTAGCAAGTTGTTAAAATTTCATCCCTGAAACTTCAGTTTTTTTAGTTAGAAATTTATTAATAGAGCTAAAATTAAATATACAATGGAATTTCAACAGTTGAAGCTAGATAGATGTTATATTGATATTGTAACAGGCATATAATTTATCTTTGTAACATCAGAAAAAATTCAATCAGCCAGAAATTGCAGGAAAGATTTTATAATTGCATATAATTACCAAATATTAGGTCATATCATAGATTTTCACTTCTATGTTTTACTGATTGGAGCTCTGATGGCACTAGAAATGTTATGAATTGTTTTAAAAATTAAAAATTTTTTTATTTCTGGAATCACTTATCACTTGAATCAAGTATATGAGGAATAAAGTTTTGTTAAACAAATTAACAATGATTAATTTATTATACAAACTTATCCGGTACTAGTAATAAGTAACTTTATGTATTGTTATATGTTAATAGGTCCATCAGATGATGAAGCATAATCATGGCTACCCAGGTTATTTTGCTTATGGTGGCAGTACTGTTAGTGACCTTCAATCTAACCATGCAATTATTAATGTACCCAGTCACAGCAAGCCTATCATAGTGGAGTTTGATGTCTGTGCTGTACTCATTGGTAGCCATTCCGATTTATCATTCCTGAACAACTTTACTTCTGGCCTTGAATTGACTGTGAGTAGGATATTAATTTATTTAAAGTATTTTGTAAGAAAACAATAATTATAGCGTACTGAAGTTATTTTATTATATATGTATTTGAGTTCTGCGCATGTACTTGATTTGAATACCCACATTTCACGTCGTGTCCCACAGTTTTACTATTTTTTAGTAGAATAAGTGCTCAGTTTTACTTTTTTAAAAAAAAACTAGTTAAGCAGACATCAAAACAACAACAATGGACTAACACCACAGTGAGTAGTGTTGTTATTTACTGTGTACTATTACAGACAGTGAATTTAGTGATTTAGCGTCTATAGGCTTAATCTCTATAGCCATAACAGCTGACGGCTCCCCTCTCCAGTTGTGGCCCTGCCACGTAACTGGCTGGTTCTCAGCCGGTGGTTCATCCATTGTAATAACACGCAGACGTAGTTTTATTTATTTATTTTTTTTCCCTTTCTTTTTTTTTTTATATGCGATATTACCACCAAGTAATGTCAACTAAGAGGTCCCATTCAGTTGGCTCTACCCCACGTAATTCACCGCCTAAACAGAAAACACGTCGTAGTAAGCGATTAACACCCCCCGGAACTCCTCCAGCGAACACTCAAGTATCTGTGTCTCAACCACTGCCAAGTACGTCTTCACAAGAAATGGAATCTCCATTTTTTACACCTAATCCATACCAGGTGCTTGAAAATGACAGGGAAGAAATGGAAGATGCACCTATACCTCGAGAACCACGCCCACCTCCTATCTTTGTCAAAAATTTGAGAAATTTCCAGTTGTTGTGTACTCAACTTAATAAAATCTGCCCAGGTAGCTATACATGCCTAAACAGAATAAATGATACAAAAATAATACCGGCCACACCTGAAGCGTACCGAAAAATCGTAAAATATTTAACAGACACAAATGCGGACTTTCACACATACCAGTTGAAACAGGAAAGAGCACTACGAGTTGTAATAAGAAATTTACACTCCTCAACCCCAATAGAAGTGATTAAAGAAGAGTTAACGGCGTTAGGGTTCAAAATACGTCAGATAACCAATGTTTTAAAAGAAAATAAAGAACAACCAGGTGTAAAGAATAAAATCCCATTGCCCTTATTTTTCGTCGATCTAGAGCCATCGCCTGGGATCGAAAAAATATACGATGTGAATAGAATTTTCTACACCAGCGTAAAGGTCGAAAAACCGTACCCAAAAAGAGAGTTCATCCAGTGCCATAATTGCCAAGCATATGGCCACACCAAGTCTTATTGCCACCACTTACCACGCTGCGTGAAATGTGGTAAAACACACAAGTCTGGCGAGTGTAATAAACCAATTACAGAACCAGCAGTCTGTGCCCTATGCCTGGAAGGCCATCCAGCCAACTACAAAGGCTGCCAAATTTATAAAAATCTTAAAGCGAGATATATGAAACCCAGGGACCCTGATGATACACCTAAACCAAGAAGAGGACCCGCTAAAATTGTGAACTCTAAGGTTTCTTTTGCCAAGCTACTTGGGGGTAGAGACCCGACTAATGTATGTGAGGCCCTGCCGCAAGAACAAACTCAACCCCAATCTCAATATCCTATCCCACCTAATGTACCTAATCAACAACAACCTCACCAACATCAAATCCAATATGTTCCTCCACCGCCTAATGCTACAGATCTAACCAGCTTATTGACATCCTTTCTTTCAGAATTTAAATCCCTTGTTACCCCACTGATATCACTTCTCACTAACCTAGTATCTCACCTTATCCCTCCTTTAAAAAATCCTTAAATGACTTCCATCAAACCCATATCCATTCTCCTTTGGAATGCGAATGGTGTTAGAAATCACATACACGAACTAACAGCCTTACTACAAGACAAGAACGTAGACGTAGCCCTAATAACGGAAACTCGACTGACTAAAAAACAGCTCCTAAAAATACCACAATACATAACTTACCGTACCGACCATCCTGACGGTAGAGCACATGCCGGTACTGCAGTCATTGTGCACCAATCCCTCTCCCATCACCTACTCCCACTGCCTACACACGATTTCCTACAATCCACCGCAGTCGTAATCAAAACCTTCTCCTTTCCTATTACCGTTGCATCAGCGTATTGCCCTCCAAACCAATCCATCTCCAATATCCAATTTAGTTCCTTCCTCATTTCCTTAGGACATCATTTCATCTTGGGTGCAGACTTAAACGCCAAGCATCAACAATGGGGTTCAAGAACCACGAATTCTCGTGGTCGAACATTGCTGTCTGTACTCAATTCCCAAAATTTTACCCTTCTTCCACCCAACTCACCTACCTACTGGCCCACTGATCCTAACCGTAATCCCGATATCCTCGATTTCTTTATCCATAATGGTTTAGGTGCTCTCAACCATTCCGTTGCCCGTCTTGACGAGCTTTCCTCAGACCACAGCCCATTAATACTCCAAGTATCACTAGCTCCTATTCCTAAACCCTCTCCTCCGTCCTTCATCAGAGGCCCAGTTAACTGGAAACTCTTTCATCAAATCCTCTCCGATAAAATTGACCTCAGAGTAACCCTGAAAACCTCTGAAGACCTGGACAATGCAGTACATTCCTTCACTACCAAAATTCAAGAAGCAGTCTGGACTGCTTCCTCCCCTGATCACTCCTCAAAAATCCTTAAGAAACATAATTTACCTCAACACCTCCTTGACCTAATCCACATAAAACGCCGTGCCAGATTATTATGGCAACGTACCAGACATCCAGCCGACCGCCACTCCTACAATTATCACTGTAAAAAATTAAAAAAAGAATTAGCCACCTTCAGATCCCAATCATTCAATTCCTACCTCACCACACTCTCTGCTCATGATAATTCCCTTTGGAATATCACCAGAAAAATCCTCAAATCCCATCATATTTCCCACCCTCTTCGACGAGATGATGGCTCCTGGGCAGCATCTGATGAAGATAAAGCCGAGGAATTTGCCAAACACCTTTCCTATACTTTCGCTCCTCATCCAGAATCCCATCCCAGCCACACAGTAAAAGTAGAAGAATCCCTCTCAATACCTATCCCACTCTCCTTACCACCTAAAGCTGTTAATCCCTCTGAGGTCAAATACCTTTTACGGAAAATCACACCTCGCAAATCTCCTGGATATGACCTTCTAACCCCACAGATCCTTCGACAACTTCCATCTAAAGCCATCATATTTCTTACATATATATACAATTGCATCCTACGAACTACCCACTTCCCTCTTTTATGGAAACATTCCACCATCGTCCTCTTCTTGAAACCAGGCAAACCTTCCAACAATACAGCATCCTATAGACCAATTAGCCTACTCCCAATCCTCTCAAAAATTTTTGAAAAGATCCTACTGAAACGAATCCTACCTATAATTGAATCCTATAACCTTCCTACTCATCAATTCGGATTTCGTTCCCAACATTCCACTGTCCAGCAAGGACTCCGAGTTGTTGACCATATATCCTCAACCCTAGAAAGCAAGCAGTATTGCTCGGGTGCATTTCTGGACATAGCGCAAGCTTTTGACCGGGTATGGCACGCCGGATTACTCTTCAAGCTTAAAATCCATCTACCACAGTCCTTATACCTAGTACTCCGATCCTATCTTTCCGACCGCTCCTTCCGAGTTCGCTGTGGCACCGAATTCTCCGACTGTTACTCAATTGAGGCTGGCGTTCCTCAAGGCAGCGTCTTGGGCCCCATCCTTTACATTCTCTTTACCGCTGATATTCCTGTCCATCCCGATACCCTCCTGGCAACTTTCGCTGATGACACTGCTATCCTTTCTTCCAACTCAGATCCTGAAACAGCGTCCGCAAACTTACAAAGGCACCTCTTCCTGATTGAACACTGGTGTAAGAAATGGCGCATTAAGGTAAACGAATCTAAATGTAAACACATTACCTTCACCCTTCGGCGTAATACCTGCCCACCAGTTTATTTTAACTCCATCCAGCTTCCTTTCTCAGATACAGTCCGGTATCTTGGCTTTCTCTTAGACAGACGACTAACATGGAATCCACATACTCGACTTAAAAGACAGGAACTTAACAGACGATATGGCCAGCTATATAGACTACTGAATAGAAAATCTAAACTTTCTGGTGAAAACAAATTACTGATCTACAAGACAATACTGAAACCCATCTGGACTTACGGACTAGAACTATGGGGAACAGCCAAATTTTCTAACATCAAACGCATTCAATCCTTTCAGTCTAAAGTCCTCCGTACAATAGTCAATGCTCCCTTCTATGTAACCAATAAAACCCTACACCATGACCTTAATATCCCATTTATTCTTGATCTTATCCCAGCCAAATTTTCCAAATTTCACCAGAACCTTTCTCATCACCCAAATCCCGTTGTACAATCCCTATCAAGCACCACCCATCCCTACAATCCCCTTCGTAGGTTAAAGCGGCAGTGGCCACGAGACCTTTTGTAAATATGGATATTTTGGAGTTCTAGCAATGGCCAGATTCTCCACTCAAGTCATGAGTGTCTGTGGCTGTAGCGCTCTTACTCATCCTCCGCTGGTTTAAAATACCAGTGAAGTGGCTGAGGGAGAAGCGTAGGGATCTCCTAAGCCTCCCTTTTCCCTCCACATGTGGAGGGGACAGGATTGGTTCGGAGATCACCTGGCAAATTGTAAATAATATGGTATGTTTTATATAAGGTGTTTGTTTTACTTTTATTTCTATTTTTATTTACTTATGTGTATATATATATATATTTTTTCTTTACTCTTTTGTTCTTTTTTCTTATTCTTTTGTTATTACTTTATTTATTTATATTTTTGTATATACGGTATGAATGCAATCTCTGAACTCTATTATAAGTGTCCTTAAACTGTGACAAATTGTAATATTTCTGAATAAAGTGTTTAATAAAAAAAAAAAAAAAAAAAAAAATATATGTATTTATTCATGTGATTGTAGTAAACTTAGAATTATTGTTAGTATTATTTTATAAGTAGGTTAGAAATAATGAT